CCTGTATAAAATATATCCATTCATTCACCCATGTATTCATCTTCCATCCGCTTATCCTGGACAGATTGGGGGGGGGGGGGGTCCTATACCAGGCAGCATAATAAAATATATCCTCATATGAAATATTCAAGCAGTATAAACCCAAGGCTATCAGCAATGTCATCTTAGTTCATATGACAACAACAACACGATGTCACCTTCCTCAGAAACATTCATTTTACTAAGCAGGGAGAGATTTCAAAATATTTCATTTCCATATTGTCAAGATTAAAAATGACCTATACTGTCCCATAAACACACACTCCAGATACCAACAAAATAAGAATGCATATAATATTCATATACTGAGCAAAGCACCAAAGACTTTGTTTTTCATATTATGTTTGCCAAAGAGATTTGCTACCGATTTGGGACAATCCAACAAGAAAAGTCAATATGGGTCCAGTTTGCTCCAGCCAAACTGATGCGATTACAAGCTCAACTGGTACTTTCAAGGTCCATCGGGCTCAGCCCAGAACACCTGAGGAAAGGTACCAGATTCAGCCAGTAGGCCTGATTATTAGTGCCAATAAATTAGTGGGGGTAGAGCAGGAAGTGAAACGAAAGCCCAGTTATGACATCATCTGTCACAGCCCCTCCGATATGCACTCTGTACCCCCATATTCCACCTTCCCTCAACCTGACTGGTGGAGGGTTTTGATGGGATTTATACACCGATCAGCCATAACATTAAAACCACCTGTCTGATATCGCGTAGGTTCCCTCGTGCCGCCAAAACAGCTCTGATCCTTCGAGGCATGGACTCCACGAGGCCTCTGAAGGTGTCCTGTGGTATCTGACACCAAGACATTAGCAGCAGATCCTTTTTGTCTTGTTAGCGGTGAGGTGGGGCATCCATGGATCGCACCAGTTTGTCCAGCACGTCCCTCAGATGCTCGGTCGCATTGAGATCTGGGGACTTTGGAGGCCAAGTCAACACCTTGAACTCCATCTCCTGTTCCTCAAACCATTGCTGAGCATCTATCAGAGTGTGGTAGAGTGTATTGTCAAAGTAACATCAACATGAACACCAAGACCCAAGGCTTCCTAGCAGAACATTGCCCAGAGCATCACACTGCCTCCGCCAGCCTGCCTTCTTCTCATAGTGCATCCTGGTGCCATCTCTTCCCCTGTTATAATGCCGCATATGCACCCGGCCGTCCACTTGATGTAACAGACCACGTCTCCTCAGACCAGCCCACCTTCTTCCATTGCTTTATGGTCCAGTTCTGATGCTCCCGTGCCCATTATAGGTGTTTTTGGCAGTGGACAGGGGTCAGCTTGGGAGCGCTGACTGGTCTGACTGGTCAGACTGGCCCCATAACCAGCAATGTGCAATGCACTGTCCACAGCAATTTGTCCTACAGTAAATCTCCTGTGGGATCGAACCAGACTCACACACGTCAATGAGCCTTGGGCGCTCATGACCCGATCGCTAGCACCAGTCGGCCTTCGTTGGGCCACTTCCGGTGGGTCCTTACCACTGCATGCCAGGAACACCCCAGAAGACCTGCCGTTTCGGAGATGGTCTAACCCAGTCGTCTAGCCCTCACAATTTGGCCCTTGTCAATGTCGCTCACATCCTTACACTTGTCCATTTTTGCAGATTTTTCCCCCATTTTTCTAGCACATCAATTTCAAGGACTGGCTGTTTGTTTGCCTAATATTTCATGGCACCCATGACGGATGCCATTGTAACGAGATAATCAGTGTTATTCATGTCACTTGTTAGTGGTTTTAATATTATGGATGACTGGTGTATGGAACCTGTTGACGTAAGGGTGGACTTTGACTAAAAACCATTCCGATTCTGGTTAAAGCCACCCCCTCCCCTCCCACCCCCACTAAGAAAAGGTGAAACCAGCTTTCTGGGTCTTTGAAGCTTCACTCCTACACACTGCTATTCAAACACACCCACAGAGCGTCTACACCAATGTGCGATGAATGTTTTCTGGACTAACTGTTGAGTGCTATATCCAATTGTTGTGCAACAAAAGGGTTCTTCAGAAACTGTTATTGGAAAACATCTTGCGCAAGAAGAGGGTTTAGGCTATTTGTAGGAAATAAATAAAATACACTTTAGGTTGATCTGTATCTTCTATAAGGAGAGGTTTCAAAAATAGAATGAAAATCCAGGTTTTTTCAAAGAGGTTAATGTATTTGCATATGTCCGATTTTAATCAACATGCTGCCATTGGTTTTTTATTCCAGTCTCTCGTCATTTGGGCAAGTAAATATAGATGCATTAGGGGGCGGCGGGAGAATGGGCCCAGGCATTTTCGGCTGGGGTGTGTGGGAGGCAGGACAGTAATTGGAAAATACCAGAAAATATCTCTGCCACACACTGAGCATACAAAAGAAAATGAGGAGAGGAGCTGGGGGAAGGAAGCTGGGCGAACACAGCACTTGTTAACTACGATACAGGG